GAACTGAAGAAGCTTCTCGGATGAGATGAGTGTTCAGATTTTCTTTGAGTTTCTGTTCTAACTGAAGTTAACTGGCCGACATTTGTTCAGCGGTGAGCAACATTTTCCAGCAGTAAGTTCTGGTTGTATCTAAATCACTCAAGTCACTACGGAGGTCAGACAGTGACCCAGCTGTTTGACCCATTAATGAGCCAAGCCAGAAGCATTATGAATCATCTATTCCACTGTAATGTGGTATGTCAGTGGGAATTATGCACACATCTATGTGCGTAATCATTTCACCTGCCATGATTCAGAACTGAAGAAGCAGATGTAATCAGGCGGTTGAAGCTGTTTACGTTAAGGAAAAGATGATCTAATGAGTGAAAGATCTGGAGTTCGACCTCAGGAGGAGACGCACATTTCTTTGGGGTTGCATCAGAATGGCAACCAGTTTAAAAACACTGCCAAATCAAACATGTGGAGCTGCCTGCTGTGGCGACCCCTTGTGAAAAAGGGAACAGCCAAAAGTGGCTTTGTAGTGTTCAACATGTTATATTTGGATTCACCAAGAGAGGAGAAAAGACTTCTACTGGCCCAAAAAGTCCCCAAAATAACAACAAGGAAAAAATATCCCAGAGAGAAAGAGAGAGAGGGAGAGACAGATAGATAGCCAGCCTTATCTTAGGGTTGCTTTAACTTTAGCTTTTGGTCCAGGGCCAAAAGTCTTGTCTTTTCCTTAATTCTTAATTCTTTTAAATTAGTATTTATCTCCCTCTGAACTGCACATTTTTCGGGTTACTCTTTTAATGTTTTGTGAATCCCATCCGTCTTTACCTCTTTGGTACAAAATAAAGCGTATAGACTTAAGAAGTAAGATTGTTACAATCTTTTATTTTGTTCCTCAGCTGCGACACGCATGATAGCCAATGCTTTGAGCCATGACTCTCCACCAGCCACGCCAGCCCGCCGGCCTGACAACCGCCTCTCCGTCACAGTGTCCAACACGCAAGCAAACAAGAGTAACAAAGCAGGTAGATTAAATAAACGTATGTTTGTGTTTCACCCCATCCGTCCCCTGTTTCCTGTTTCCCTGAAGCCAGGAAAGCCCTCTTTTTACTCATGTTTGTTCCTTATGTGCTCCACAATTTGTCAGTTATACGCCAACCAGCTGACGAGGGGAACGGTCTGCCTGTAGTGAAGCGTCGCCGCGTAACAGCTGAGATGGAAGGCAAGTACATCATCAACATGCCCAAGGGCACCACTCCTCGCACACGCCGAATCCTGGCCCAGCAGGCCAAGAAAGGTAGGCCTGATGAGGTGGCCTCACCAACAGCTCGCCTAACTAACGCGCTACTCACAACAACTAATCAAACTTGAAGCTCTAATGAGTCTCCCTCCTAAAAAGTACAACTATTGATCAGGTGCTGATGATCAGAGTCTGTTTGACCCTCACCGTCTGCCCTTGTTTTTACTAATCCAGCTCATTCTGCCAATAAAATTCCCCCTCACACTTATTTTTTTCCCCCGTTTGTCTCACATTAACTAAATTTTACTTCTTTTTGCTCTTCTGATTTTTCCTCCCTGGCATGAGCTTGCATTTGGATTGTGTTGTCATTCAGCGTCAACACATTTTCTCTAAATTTATGAAGGAAACATCACTTTTATAGCTGTAAAAGCTGCAGTGAAAATCATGCTTTCATGATAAATGTACCGACACTATCTAACAAACCACCGCAGCCCATTGAACTCACCGGAAAATCAAGTTTGCAACTTAGAAGAATGGTGTACTCCGGATAGAGTAATTATTAGCAACTGGGTGTAACTCCTTTCTGTGAAAAGACCAGGTCAGTGTTGACACACGTTTCAATGCCTTTTTTGAGGCAGCTTTTTTGTCTGGTTCAGTTACTTTGCGCCGTTTACAGTTGTTGCAAATGCTTCCTGTGGGATTTACCACCACTGAATCAAGCTTTCCACCATCTGAAGTGATATGACCACACAGCCAACAGGAACGCCCTTTCAAAGAAAGACTTCAGAGTCTGAAAACAGAAGAAGTCTATTGTTTCCTTTTACACCACTTAAGTTAACTTGGGATGTTTGTTTACTGCCTATCCCAGCTTTAACTGGTTTGTCATGTTAGCAATTAAAGTAAAAGAGGTTTTCTTTAGCTGACTTAAAACAACAGGAGTTGATCAAAATATTTTTCTAGGCAGATGCATTTACACTTGACTCTCCAAAAACCCATATACAAAAACACAAAACTCACAAACACTAGAATACAAGCATGGGAAAGCAAAATGAAACAAAATAATATAAAACCCAGTGACACACTGTTAAAATTTACATTTACATTGTTGTAGGCAAGAAAAAAAACAAATCAAATGTTTGTTTAATTCTAATCAGTGTGACTTTAGTTTTAGTTTTCAAAATAAAAGCAAAAATTCTCAACATATTACATGTATGGAGAATACTGTCAAAATTTCCAACATGTAATTATAAACCACAAAATAGAAACGACTGGAGTGATTTTTTATTTTTTTAATATTTTGTGTAAACATCGAGAAGCATATAGGCTACATTCTGGTGGTCAAAGGTCACCGCGATCTCCTGAGACTCATTTTTGTGCACAATCAAATAAGTCACACACCGACTATAACAACGCTCAATACAAATTCATGGCAGAATAACAGAAACTGAGCAAAGGTAAACTAACAGACTTTAAAGAACAACTACAGAGCGGTGGTACTGACAAATATTTCTTCACCTTCTCTCTTCCACTGTAATCTGTATGTCGCAGAGTTTCTTTTTTGCTGATTAGTTTTGCTGGAAAAAAAATATTTTATTTTGCTTATTTGCTCTTCTCTTCATGAAGGTTTGAAACGCACGTCTGTGTTTGCGAGACTTGGAGCTGAATCGAAGGCAGACACGACAACGGGCGGTAACAAGGTGAGCCCTGTCGATGTACATTAACAGCGTTCTGCATGTTAAAGATGAGTTCTGAGCTCATAGCGCTCATATTTTTGCAGCCGACCGGCGTGTTCAGCCGCCTCGACAGAGGGGAAGAAGCTGCAGACGAGCCGACAGCTGGAAACGCAGGTGAAAACGAGGACGACAGCGATGGAGAAGGCTCTGTCCTCCAGTATGCTGGCGTCCTCAAGAAACCCCCTTCCCTCCAGAAAAAAGAGTCTGCGATAAAAGCGCCCCCCATCACCCTGCGGCGCCTCGGCGGCAAATTCAAACTACCTCCCTCTGATACACCCACCTCCTCCTCACCTTCCCTGAATGGTCTCCCCCCTGCTAAGATTAGTGTTCTTCAGAGACTGGGCAAGCCCCCCGCAACACACTCAAAAACCAGTGTGTCGCAGACACCCGCTGACACACAGGACAACAGAGTGACCAGCACCAGATCCCGAGCCCAGGAGAGGACGACTGTAGCAAGCTCCAAGGTGAGCAGCAGCACCGGAGGAGCTGGAATGGGAGGAGAGTCCGCGGGAGCCCAGATGGACGTTAAAGCTATCAGTGTTTTCAAGAGACTGGGCAGCAAGAGAACCTAACACACTCACCCCACCACCACCACCCAAAAAATACTCTTTCTTTACACTCTTTTTAAAGTTTGTATCGCCAACTTTTAGGATTTATCTTGCTGCAATATTTTTTGTTTTGTTTTTGTGTTTGGATAAATGACAAAGATTATCATTTACATTACACTCATTATTCATGCTGCCATTGGAAAAATGTTTACCGTTTAGTGTCCAAACCTATTATTTAAGGACTTATGGTCTGCATTTGTTAGCTTAAAGCATGAGCTTGGCATACGCTACCCCCACCACACCCCACACGAGGATGCTGCTGCTGCCTCCACTCCCTGAATGCCCCTGAATGAATAGTGAGGCTGTAGAAAATGTTGCATCTCCAAGAATAATTATGTAAGTGTTTTATTGATATTTGCCTGAACATGTAAAATGTACAGATTTTTGTTTTGTTTTATTTTATTTTTTATTTTTAAGTTGAATACACAGGACAGCAGTCAGACTAGTAAGGAGATGATAAGTTAAAGTTAATCTTCTAACCTTCACATAAGAATTACCTCCTTTTCAAAGTATGAAAAGTGTCGATAACAAGCTTCTGAACTCAGACCCCGAACTTGTGAGAGGGGAAAGGAAAAAATTCAAACTATTAAACAGAACAACCTCGATGAACACTTGAATCTTTGGAAAGCAATGCACCTCCTCCTCCTCTTCTGTGCTTTGTGGAGTAGAAGTTGACACCTTCGAACTAAAGGCACCTTTTCTATCGTAGTACTGAACGTTTTCTATAACCACCTACTTGAAAGCCGACTCACTAGAATATTTCTTTTGTTTTTATGCAATGTATAGATTTGTTAGACTTCACACACACATATTTTTCTATGTGGACGTTCTTCTATCATGACGTATCCTTACAAAAGGAATTCAGCGATGCCATCGGGCCCAGCTCGATGTAGTCCACTCAAACCAGTGTTGCTCATTACTCCTGATGTGCAGTTTTTGTCTGTCAGACTTCATGCCAGAGCTTCGTTACATTGTAAATATTTTAAAATGCTAAGGATTTTTTCCCCTGTGTTTAAAGAATTAATATCTGGAAAACACACCAGGAAATGTCACGTTTTCTTTTTCAAGGTATGAAGGAAAAGTGTGCTTGAAAAAAAAAATTAAATGTTGAAAAGGTGTCAGATGTCTGGGTTTCTCTTTTTCTTACTACAAGAGGACATTGAGACAGTACTTTACTGTTTTAGTGGAGATATCATCTGAACGCCCCTTCCAACCTCAGACTATAAATGCCCTCTTCTCCAATACCCGCTGTTCTCTTTTCCATGCCCCACCCTTCCCCCCCTTTTTCCCTCTCTTCTCCTCTTCTCTCCTCCTCCCTTCCTTCCTTCACTTCTCGTTAGTACATGGGGATCTACCGCAGCACCATTTCATACATCCTCATCCCTCTTCGCTCATCGTTTCCGAGGATGTGGTCCCAGTTATTGAAGGTGTTTTCGTCAAAGTAAGCATCCCCTCCTCAAAGTGACATACAGCAAGAAAAGGGTTCAACTTCACTGAATATAAGCTGATTAGCCAGCTGTTGGTCTGTTTGGGAAACCAATGATGTTTCCACTGATCCATACATACATATTTTACATATTAAAAATGACGAAGTTGATCATATAATATTTAAAATTAGAGCAAGATAAATATTAGACTTCTTTATTTTAAATCTTTAGCAGCAATTTTCTCTCCTGATTTTATTTACTTCATTGTTGTTCGTTCTGGTAGTTTAGACTATCAATCAAAAAACTTCTAACCACTTGTAAAAATTTACAGGCAGCCTATGAAAGTGTGATCTGCTGTGACACTGTGGAAAAAACACAGATGAATGTTTTAGACACTGATACAGGGAGGATACTGCACACCGTGTCTTGTTAAAAATGTTTGAAATAAAATTGCCTTTAACTGGAGCTGTCAGTATGTGACAAGCAGCCATCAGAAGATGGTACGCTGTGGTTATAAAGGGATGGACATGGTCAGCTAGAATACTCAAGTAGGTTGCAGCATTAAATTATGCTCAGTTGGTACTAAGGGGATCAAAATGTGCCAAAACAAATATCCCCCACACCATTACACCGGCAGCAGCCTGAACCATCGATACCTGGCAGGAAGGATCAAAATTCTCACTCTACCGTCGGAATATCGCAGCAAAAATCACAACTCCTTAGACTAGGAAATGTTTCCTGGTCTAAAAAGTAGCCTGGCTATTTTCCTCTGACTTCTGATAGCAACCACGCCACGTTCAAAGTCAGTTGAATGTGGCGTGGTTGTTGTTGTCAGACCTTTTTTCCTCATTCTGATGCTCAGCTTGAACTTCAGCAGGTCATCTGGACCATGTCTACATGCCTAAGTGCTATGAGTTGCTGCTACCTGATTCGCTGATTAGATATTTGTACTAATGAGTCATTGAATAGATGTACCTTGTGAAGTGAAACTACATAAAAGTGAGCCCTGCAATGGTTTAAAGGGATTTTCTGGGTCTTGGTTTAATAAAAGTGAAGTGTGAATTGTTTGTCAGTTATTACAACACAAACAGAACACTTATTTTATCTTTAGTTAACTGTAATAAACTTGATTGTTTGGCAACTGTGAGAGCTGTCGTGCCTCAGGTGCTGCCCATCTTTCCAATAAGCAGGAGTTCGAGGAGCGCTACAGGGTGTGCTGTGGATGCTTACTCCTGCTTTGTGGAGAAGATGGTGTGTGTGGGTTTTTTTTTTTAACTTACTCTTGCATGGTGACCAATTTATGGGCTTTGTTTTCAGTCTCCTTTAGTTTAATTATTAATAAAACCTTTGCTCTGATAATGTTTGTCTCATTTTTCAACTGCCGTTTTTAGGAGAAAGTAAGAGAGAGAGACTGAAGCAGGGTAGTTTTTCCTCACACAGAAAATCAGAAATCAGAAGATGAAACCATCTCCAACCATGCTCTAAAAGATCTCCTTTTTATCATTTACATTTTGATATCATGATCTTTGACTTGCTTGTACTGTTGCAGGGAAAAACAGCTGATTCTGAGGAGGTTTTGTGGGATTTTTCTTGACTTTAAGTGGAGGGACTGCTTCAGCTTGATGCTTCAGTCTCACGTGATGCGGATCACCATCAAACTGACATAATAATCACCCCTCAGGGATGTAAGGTAGCTGCTCAATATAAAGAAAATGAGGTGACATGCCTCTGAGGCTGACTGCTGACTTCTAGGTTAACCACACGTCACATCAAACTAAGTGTACACTTTGTCCCCTTGAGGTCGCTCTCTCCCTCCTCCTTCTCCCTCAGCCTCCTGCCGTTCGTCTTCATCTCCTTGAAAACCTTATCAGCTGAAGTCATCAGGCGCTCCGCTTGGTCCTGAAACGATTACAGGAACAATAGTTATAGTAAAAGCTGGATTTTATTGTGAGGACTGATCACTTCCAATCGTTATTATTAATTGACCCTTGAAGAACGAGCCTCGGGCCTAAGAGTAGATAGTTTATATGGCTATCTTTTTAAATCTTTTGCCGAATAGTGTTTAAAATAGATAAACATGCAATAATAAAGAAGTTGTTGTTTATTACTGACTGATAAAAGCATCTACTTTGCGGTTTATGCAGTTGTTATGGTTGATTTTAATGTGCCACATCACACTAAGAAATAATCGATTATGTCTGAATATTTCCACATTTTCTCTTTTTTTCTTTCTTCTCCTTTTTTCTCCATGTAAAATCCGGACTGCAGCAACGCCTCACGACTTCTCTTTTTTTCCCACAATGCTGCGCGGTAGGGGCTGTCGTGTGTGCGCTATCTGTGGTGCTGAAGCTGCGCGTGCCTCTGAGGTTGCTACCATACAAATCCACCCGAGCATCCTTCCGCGAGAGCTCCAGCAGCGAGGGATGGTTTGTGGTCGACGCTAGGAGAGATTCAGGATGTTTCTGCCAGCTCTGGTGATGTAATGCGTCTTTTTTCTGTATCTGCTGAAGTTCTCCTGGGTTATTTCTCGTTTTTTTCTGTAAGTGCTGCACACGGGAGACGCGCCTGAAAGCCCATTTTTTTCCCTCGGCTCGTCGTGTCTCCGGTGCCGCCGCCTGCCCTGCCTCCTTCGCCGCTCCGTCCTGCATCCTTTATGCACAGCACGCTGCTCCGGTCCTCCCCAACAAAGCACACCTTCGTGTCCGAGCACCATGGCCCGCTCCAGCCGCTTTCACTGAGAGACATGGAAGCCAAACAGCACCAGATAAAGAGCCTGAAAAGCTACCCGGAGACCGGCGGTCGGAGCCTGGCAGCGGCCGCCGGAGGAGACGGAGGAGGGGGGTATCGAGCCGGCTCAGCTGAAATGGAGATGGACTCGAAGATCCAGAAAGCCATCGAGTTCAAGGCGGAGGGCCATCGCTGCTACAAGGAGAAGAAGTTCCGGGAAGCGATAGGCAAGTACCACCGGGCGCTGCTGCAGCTCAAAGGGGTTCATGTCGTGGACGGCACTACGGGCTCCGAGGTCAACCTGCTCAGCCAAGCCGCGGCCAAGCTGACCGAGGAGCAGAGGAGAGCCGTGGAGAGCACCGAGATCGAGTGCTACGACAGCCTGACAGGTGACACGACCACAAACACACTAAAACTCAGAAACACCCAGACCCCTACTATTCTCCAAGTAGTGCTGACACCATTATTGGTTCCGGTTCATCGGGTTCACACAAGCTCCGGGGTGCAGTTATGTCTCCAGGTGCTGGGATCAGCAAAGGCGGGCGAAACAACACTGGTGCTGAAATGGAGCATGGATGGTGTTTGTTTGTATGTTTTTTAATTGCACATACAAAAGTGGCGGCACACTGTTTGACCATTGGTGCGTTTATTTATTCCGGTGAGGTCATTTGCCAGCCATTAAAGAGAAATTTCACCGTGTGGGCTGAAATAGTTCACCTCTCTGCCAGTTACTTGCTCTCAAACAGCCTTTCACGTGGGTTGTTTATTTTTACATGTGTACCTGTAAGAAAAAAGAAAAACATCTGGGCCATAAATACAATCAGGCTTCATGTTTTAGGACATGTTACCATTATTTATGTATGAGGCAAGTTCACCACATTGTTGTGTTGTAACGACATCCACATGGGATCTGGCAAAAGGGGTGATGTAAGGCTGCACGTTTAATGGCTCCAAGTGTGGAGGGAGTTACAACAGGGTTAACAGAGCTTCACATAACAGCTGCTTTCAATGTTAATGCTCAGTAATTTCATTTATAATATACCAGAAAAGAACAACTGAGAAGAAGCTCATTGTTCATTGTTATAGTCCCCGTATCTCGACATAGACTGTTACATCATTGTTTCTAGTTGTGCAATTATGCACAATCATGAATAAAAGTAGACATCGGAGCTTCAACAATGTGAGAGTTTCACTTCAAGGTTTTAGTGATCAAAATAATTCAGAATAAAATTGAAAGCGATGGAAAAAATAATGAATAATAATGAAGTTCACACATAATTTTAATTATTGTCGTTGTTTTGTTATATTGTTTCGGCAAATTAATTGTACTGAAAAAAACAAGTACACAGAGGTGGTAAGAGTGTAATTATAACTGTCCAAAAAACCCCCAAAAAAACAAGACACACATTTGCACAATTACTTAAAATATTAGTTATGTATTTACCTTTAATCAGAAAGCCCCACTGAGACTGACGTTTTCAAGGGAGACTTGAACAAGGTAGCAGTCATAAACTCAAAACATATTAAAAAACTTAACAACTACAACATAAAATACAGGAGCCACAGCATTATTATGTATACAGTATACAATTACCCACAACAAAATATGCTAGTGGCCTCTCAAGAAAATAATCCACATTTCCTATCCTGCATTCTTTATGATGCTTTTAAATTCAATAATAGATACAGTCCTTTGAAAAAATAAAATAAAAATTCACAAGAAAATCCACAGTTTTTCTGCATTTGATTAACTGATCGTCAGTAAGTGTGAGCATCACTACAAAAGCAGAAGTTTGGGCAGTTTGCTGGTCTGGAGCACTCATTTGTGTGTTAATGCAATGCCAAAATCTTCCGACAAGCAGACATCCCAAAAAATTCTCTCCAAAGTAAGACCGTGTAATGTTCAGAGAAACTGTAACCCACAATTGTGTAAGAGTGATGAAATAGTTTTCTCTATGACTTTGCTGCTAAGGGTGATTCTGAATATGAATACAAGTTACTCAGTCACAGGATGTCCTTAGTTTTTCACATGACCCCATAAGCATGTTTAATTTTAGATTCCATTTCCAAGCTTAATGGTGTGAAAATTCTGTTTATCAGATTTCTTAGAATTCCCCAAAGCAAGCACTTAGAGGTGTGCAGCTAGTTCTGGGACAGAGAGAGGTGCAAAGGTTAACTGAAAATAGACTGAAAATACCAGTGCTGTTATCCAACAGTGATTAGTGATGGCTAGCACATCAAATCACAAAGAAAGCAGCTGTGAGTCAGACTTTGTGCCTGTAATAAAGTGTAGAGTTGCACTAGGGATGCAACGATACCAATTTTTTCAAACCGATACGATACGGATACTTGGATCTGAGTACTTGCCGATACAGAGTACAAAAACCGATACTTCTACCACACACACACACACAAATGCAATGAATTGGAAGACAGGTTTTATTTTATTCTCTGCCGATAATAAATAATATCTTAATTAAAATGACCACAAAAAAATTTCAAGTGAAAAATAAGCACTTCTGTTAAATTATTGCAGAGTCTCCACATTGTAATTTAACAGAATATCACTGAACTATTGGCACTGTCTCTAGGGGATGTCCCCCTAGTGGCCAATCTAAAAAACTACAACAAAAATGACAAGCCACCCTCTGATTTATGAAATAAGCTAGTATCGGTTCATGGTATTGGTTAACTTTTACGAGCATGAGTACACGCACATTTTACAGTATCGGCCCGATACACGATACCAGTATCGGTATCGGTGCATCCCTAAGTTGCACTGAATCAAGACTCAAAGCTGAAAAGGTGTGTATGAGTATATGCATTGTATCACCATTGTCAATCTCAAGCAGAAAAGTATCTTTCACAAGATTTTTCATATAAACAAAGTAAAACCAATCTTCACTCTCAGCTACATTGAACTTGTCATCTGTACATATATCCAAGCACGTGTTTGCATGAACTCTTTGATGTAACGGTACTATAAACCATCAAACCCTTGTTGGTGAGTTTTTCAGAAGACAAAAACTTTATAGTTTACATATACAGATTTAAATGGGTGAAGTTGAAGTCTGAGGTTGCACTGTCTGTCTTACAGAGGGAGCATGTGTGTAAATGACAGTATCATCAGCATAAAGATGTGGTTTTGCAGTATTGTCTCTACCGAAGTCATTTATAAAAAGTAGAATAAAACTAATAAAATAAAAAACAAAATTTATCCCAAAATCCTGTGGGATCCCTTTGTTAGCTAAAAAAAAAATCAGATTTCTGATCATCTGCATAGACATAGTTTGACTTACAAGGTGGATTATAATTCTGTTAACATTCTAAGGTCCATAACCAATAATCTTGTTCAGCAGCAGTTCATTGTCTACTGAATTAAACGCATTACACACATAAAAAATAACACATTGCTTTGTGTTGTATAGCATGTTTATTATTGGTGCTTCATGTTTAAATATTATGGCTATTGTCAGTACATGGACACTGTGACAAACTTACTTGTTTGTTCTTTTACGCGGTTATTGTCTTATATAGTGAGACAGACATAGTCACAGTTATATGCTATAAGATTACCAGTGAACCTCAGTGATAACTGTTACTGATTATCGTGGGTACTTGGATGTGAATAAAAGCAAAGCAGTGCGTTACAACAATGGAAACTGAATGAACACATGAATTATCAGCTTATAGCCAGGCTTTTGTTGGAAAAACTGTGACTCTGGTATTCAGTGTGAACAGAAGATTGTGATAAATGGTCACATTTAGAGGGATTTATGACGATAGGGATTAATGTTGCACAAAGGCACTACAGCAGTTGTATCAAATCACCTATAACACACCGTTCACCTATAATTCTGGACTGCTGTGGTGGTGTGTCTCGCTGCTGTCCCAGGCGCTGCCCGCTACACATGCCATGATGCACTGAAGGTCGCTTGTTCTGCCTATCGTTCAGGGCCTGTCTGGAGCCTGTAGGAAGGCCACTGTGGCGTGCAGGGAAGGATGGGGGTGCGACTGAGAAGAGGGGGAGGGAGAACAAACGAATAAAGGAAGAAACGAAGGAAGGAAGGAAGGAAGGGAGGAAGGGAGGAAGGAAGGGCAAAATGAGAATTAAGAGGAAACAGGAGATGTGGTGAGAAAAAGGAAAACGGTACAAATAGCAGAGAGAACAAAAATGAGGGAGGAGGATGAGGAGGAAGAGTGGTAGCAGGTGACAGGAGGCCATATTTACCATGGCAACCATCACTGGGTCTTTTCCCTGTTGTTGTTGTAATAACACTACTCCCATTCCCGTTACTGCTATGTGTGTGTGTGTGTGTGTGCACATGCGCACTCGCAGGCTTGTACCACAAAGACATGCCACCACAACCTCGCTGTGCCATCACTGCCTGTAATCACCCCTTGTTCACTCTTTCACGGCCTCCTATAGGATGAATCGATAAACTGAGATCTCAGACACTCATTGCTTACTGTGCATGTTTATTTAAAAAAAGAAAAAGAAAAAAAGAGTGCCTATGAAAAAAAGGGGAGCATGCCATGGTTTAATCAGTTTAAAGTGCTGACAACAGTGTACACTCTGTAGTAAGCCACTTATTCCAATAAGGTGCATCATGATGTGCGTATGGATCGATTAGGCTATAAAATACATTTACTTTCATTTTCCTGCTGATATCTGCAGTCGTGATGATATAACTGAAGATATATATGCTCTATATTATGCCACGCCACATTCACCAACCCAGAATTTAACACAAAACCTCAGTAATGCTGGAAAGAAGAAATCTCTAGAATACTTCCTGCTTTTCGTCTGTTACTTGTTTTTGCTTCTGCGTCCTGAAGATGAGCAATAACCTGGGCATAAAATTAAATTTTAAGATGTGGATTAATCTCCCTTCGAAAATCTATTTACAGCAGAGAAAGGCTGTATGTGGAAGTGTATCTGTAGTGCAGGTATTTATGGCAAGGAATCTGTTTAATATGTGTGGGCTCGCGGTCTTTTCTTTAAGTCTGGTCCTGTTTGGAAAAATAGTTCCATACTGAACCATGACTCAGTTTCAAGATACACCTCAACATCGCCTAGACATCCTCTTAGAATCTATTAAGAGAACTTTTTAGTTCAAGAATTATTTTCTACAATATCTTTATTGATTAGAGTACAACAAAACACAAATTTACAAAAGTTTCTTGGTAGAAAGAATGTCAATACATCCAGCCATCTGGTTTTTCAGGTTATCTAATTCAGGGTTCTGGGAAAGCCTATTCCAGCTGTCATAGGTCAAAAGGTGGGGTATATTCTGGATAGGTCAACAAGCGTTCACACCTACAGCCTATTTAGTATCACCAATGCTTAACAGAGTAATAAGACGTATTTAATGTAATCCATCCATTC